TAGTCCTGATTTTTTGGACAAATGGCGTAAATTTTTCAGAATAGCGATGTCTCTGCGAGTAGTCCTAAAATTTCTCGAAAATGCTGCTCTTTAATCGGAAACATCGATGTTTTCACGAATGGTCCGGAGGTTTTGCAAAAATGCCGCTCTTTAATCGGAAACGTCGATGTTTTCGCTAATAGTCCGGAAGTTTTCGAAAAATGCCGTCGTATTTTCAGAATAGCGATGCTTCTGCGAGTAATCCGGAAATTTCGCGAAGATGCTGCTCTTTAATCAGAAACATCGATGTTTTCACGAATGGTCCGGAGCTTTCGCAAGGATTCCGCTCTTTAATCGGAAACATCGATGTTTTCGGGAAATTTCTCCGGGGATTTCGTAAAAATGCAGTCATTTAAAAAACGGCGATGTTTTCGCTAATAGTCCGGATGTTTTGGAAAAATGCCGTCATATTTTTAGAATAGCGATGTGTCTGCGAGTAATCCGGAAATTTCGCAAAAATGCTGCTCTTTAATCGGAAACATCGATGTTTTCGCGAATGGTTTGGAGGTTTCGCAAAGATTCCGCTCTTTAATCGGAAACATCGATGTTTTCACGAATGGTCCGGAGGTTTCGCAAGGATTCCGCTCTTTAATCGGAAACATCGATGTTTTGGGAAAATTTCTCCGGGGATTTCGAGAAAATCCTGTCATTTTTTTAAAAAAGCGATGTTTTCGATAATAGTCCGGATGTTTTGGAAAAATGCCGTCATATTTTCAGAATAGCGATGTTTCTGCGAGTAATCCGGAAATTTCGCGAAAATGCTGCTCTTTAATCGGAAACATCGATGTTTTCACGAATGGTCCGGAGGTTTCGCAAGGTTTCCGCTCTTTAATCTGAAACATCGATGTTTTTGGAAAATTTCTCCGGGGATTTCGTAAAAATGCAGTCATTTATAAAACGGCGATGTCTCGCTAATAGTCCGGATGTTTTGGAAAAATGCCGTCATATTTTCAGAATAGCGATGTTTCTGCGAGTAATCCGGAAATTTTGCGAAAATGCGGCTCTTTAATCGGAAACATCGATGTTTTCACGAATGGTCCGGAGGTTTCGCAAGGATTCCGCTCTTTAATCGGAAACATCGATGTTTTGGGAAAATTTCTCCGGGGATTTCGAAAAAATCCAGTCATTTTTTAAAAAAGCGATGTTTTCGATAATAGTCCGGATGTTTTGGAAAAATGCCGTCATATTTTCAGAATAGCGATGTTTCTGCGAGTAATCCGGAAATTTCGCGAAAATGCTGCTCTTTAATCGGAAACATCGATGTTTTCACGAATGGTCCGGAGGTTTCGCAAGGTTTCCGCTCTTTAATCGGAAACATCGATGTTTTTGGAAAATTTCTCCGGGGATTTCGTAAAAATGCAGTCATTAATAAAACGGCGATGTCTCGCTAATAGTCCGGATGTTTTGGAAAAATGCCGTCATATTTTCAGAATAGTGATGTTTTTGCGAGTAATCCGGAAATTTCGCAAAAATGCTGCTCTTTAATCGGAAACATCGATGTTTTCACGAATGGTCCGGAGGTTTTGCAAGGTTTCCGCTCTTTAATCGGAAACATCGATGTTTTTGGAAAATTCCTCCGGGGATTTCGTAAAAATGCAGTCATTTACAAAACGGCGATGTTTTCGCTAATAGTCCGGATGTTTTGGAAAAATGCCGTCATATTTTCAGAATAGCGATGTTTCTGCGAGTAATCCGGAAATTTCGCGAAAATGCGGCTCTTTAATCGGAAACATCGATGTTTTCACGAATGGTCCGGAGGTTTTGCAAAAATGGCGCTCTTTAATCGGAAACGTCGATGTTTTCGCTAATAGTCCGGAAGTTTTCGAAAAATGCCGTCGTATTTTCAGAATAGCGATGCTTCTGCGAGTAATCCGGAAATTTCGCGAAGATGCTGCTCTTTAATCAGAAACATCGATGTTTTCACGAATGGTCCGGAGCTTTCGCAAGGATTCCGCTCTTTAATCGGAAACATCGATGTTTTCGGGAAATTTCTCCGGGGATTTCGTAAAAATGCAGTCATTTAAAAAACGGCGATGTTTTCGCTAATAGTCCGGAAATTTCGCAAAAATGCCGTCTTTCATGAGAAAACATCAGTGTTTTTGCAATAGATCCGGTGGATTCGCTAAGTTGATGTCATTTTTTTAAAACAACGATGTTTTTGCTAATTGTCCGGATGTTTTGAAGAAATGCCGTCATTTTTTCAGAATGGCGATGTTTCTGCGATTAGTTCGGAAATTTTGCAAAAATGCCGTCTTTCATGAGAAAACATCAGTGTTTTCGCATCAGGTCCTGCGGATTCGCAAAGTTGATGTCATTTTTTTAAAACAACGATGTTATCGCTATTTGTCTGGATGTTTTGGAAAACTGCCGTCGTTTTTTCAGAATGGCGATGTTTCTGCGATTAGTTCGGAAATTTTGCAAAAATGCTGTCTTTCATGCGTAAACATCAGTATTTTCGCATCAGGTCCTGTGGATTCGCAAAGTTGATGTCATTTTTTTAAAACAACTATGTTTTCGCTAATAGTCCGGATGTTTTGGAAAAATGCCGTCATTTTTTCAGAATAGCGATGTTTCTGCGAATAAACCGGAGATTTCGCAAAAATTCGCAAAAATACCGTCTTTCTCACGATTATATCGATGTGTTTGCTAATGGTCCGGAGGTTTAGCGAAAATGGCGTCTTCCATGCGAAAACATCAGTGTTTTCTCAGTTGGTCCGGTGGATTCGCAAAATTGTCGTCATTTTTCCAAAACAACAATGTTCTCGCTAATTGTCCGGATTTTTTGGAAAAATGCCGTCATTTTTTCAGAATAATTAGGCTCAAAATTCAGTCATGAAGATTTCAGCTAAGGAAATCTGTGACACACGCTTTAAAAAATCGAACTTTGAACCTTAACAAACATCAAATAACTGCACGACAATGATGCATCAGATATCTGCATCGAGCGGGCAATTGCTTTCCCATAGACTTAAGCATTGATTGCAAGCCAAACGGTTATGAGCACAGATCCTATGCTGTGCCTACGAGAAAGCAAAATGGCTAGAATTTGTGCTGTTCGCCATAAACAGCCACAGGTTTAGTATCAAAAAGTTTGAAATTTTTTTCTACACCTTTTGATATGCAACTAGTATAGCTGCACTTTGATATTCACGGAGCGCGAGCGTCAGAAAGTAGTGAGTAAGCGTCCAAGTTTTAGTGGTGGCGTGTCGTTGCGAGGTTATTTTGAACCGCGGACCGACTGATCGGTTCAACCTCTTTTTGTCGTACATTGTATGTTTGTAATCCATTTACCGCGCGCGCCTTTAATTAATATTATAACTGCTACTGACGTAAAGAATCCTGTTGGCACTGTTAAGTGTTTCTATTACTCCTCTGTGTGCTAGATTGCTGTACTTGGCCTTGCTAATTCCTCCTCCGAGCTTGTGTTACCGTGTTTGTTAATTGCCGCCTCCATTTTACGTACAAAATGCAGCACGGTTGGCGTGATCTTCCCACAGTTTAATCGGCTTAATCGGTAGCAAACGATACAATGGTTCCTGCTGTTTCGACAAGAGTACTGTAAATGGGTTAATCGGCGAGAGTAAATCAGTGATCCTCAAATCCATTCGAGGGATATACACCGGTGGCGTCGGATTCCAGTGTTGCGGTGACCTTTGCTGTTGCAAGGTTGAATGTCAGGATGACATTATTGTGAAGGTTTTTGGAGAAGATAGAAGATAGTTTGTGGGTTGTGATGCTTGCTCGGGTTCGATTATGAAAACAAGGCAGGTACAGATACATAATTCAGAAGTTCACATCAAGCTGGAGTTCAAATACTCATGACACGTGAATTGTGAAGTGTATGTTACAGTATGTATAAAGGTCATACTTTAATGGCTAAAAACAATTAACGGCGCAAAGCAGCATATGTATTATTCTACCGTTGTTATCACATTCCGATTACGCTGCACCGCCTAATTTAACAATGTCGACAGACAGAAAACAGTGCTTGGTTTGTCATGAACTACACATACAGTATGAAGCGTAAAAATCAGTGATTTATAGTTTTCGCGATAATAAAAAGCCATATTTGTTCGGAGAGGCAACAGAACTGATTGACAATTTGTCCTTTAATCCTCAAGCACAAAGTGATTATGCAGTAGATAATCATAACTGAAAATGCAGACCGTTTGCGATCGTTGCATTTTTGTCGTATTCACTCACTTAACCGGTAACAAACTACAAATTTTTAGACATTTTAAATACTGTACGTATTACCAGCTTCAGAGCAAAGCAAAACAGAATACCGAACACTTATTTAAATATCCATCAGGCAAGATGCATATAACACACAATATATACTGTATAAATGCCAATTGTCAAGAGCGGTAAACGGTGCCAGAACAAAAGCCGCAGAAGTGCTTAGAAAGCGGTATTTGTTTTTACTTTTGCGTATGTAGAAGAAGTTTCTGCTACTAGCATGGATGTCGACGAGCTGAGATTAACTATCACTGCGGAAGAATGTGCTATGTACTATCATGCCGGTACTTATGATGCATTGTTGTGCTTGCTGACTGTGCCTATGCTTATGCACGGAATCCAGCGCGGAATAATGTGTGTGTACTGATGTCGTATGAATGTGCAAAAATTACGATAAGGGAAAACGCGGCCTGCTAGACACAATTTAATTGGTTTAAAATTTTAAGGTTTAATTGAATTTTCCATGAATTTGAAATTCGTTGAATTTGAATCTTAGTAATGAACATTGCTTGTTTACTGGAAGGGAATCAGATTAGAAATCTACATAGATTGGATTTGGCTCGACCTGGATGTAATAAATAACCTTCATATGATGTATAAGAATTTGTGACCGAATACAGTTTCTTGTTCGGGCGTATTGGATCGTTGCGACCCATTTTTGCGGTACATACGGCGAGCGCGCATCGTGACGAATAACATTTATTCGCAATCCGGTAGTAATTCAAACAGGGAAAACTGGAAAGCATGGTCAGCATGCTATGCCGGTTATGTAGCCTTATCCAAGACAAACAATGCTTTTCGTACACGTACACTAATAAATATTTATGATTTTAATACTTTCAATACTACTGATTAGAATTTAGAAATAGTTTTTAAATGCAACACCGTAGTGGTGATACCATGCAGTACACATGCTGAGTTATGCAGAGATTTCCATACACACTGAGTAATTTCCATAAGCCCTGGCATAATACTCTGTCGACTGAATCGATAACCAAAATCACCCACATATACAGGAAAATTAATAAATGTGTAAACCTTGGATTACTATATCCACTGGCGACTGCTCTATATCCTACTAAATGTTTCACAAGTTTTTCACCAGCTGTAGGCAGTCTGTATAATTTTTTATAAGGATATCTGTTTGCTTCTGCGTTGACGCATCGTAACTGCAGCGTTATATATCTAAGGAAATGGGCTCTGACCACCATCCTTCACCGGCGCCAGTTGATGGAATCGACGCCGCTGCCAGGGTTTCTCTCCGCAACTCGATAACTTCGTGCAGGTGCTTCCAGCCAAGCCAGGCTCCATATACGGTTACCATCAGCAAAAGCGCCAACAACTGCAGCGGCTCCGGAACAAGCAACTGCACCAGCGGATAGGGCAGACAGAAAAAGCACGCAGTTCGCCGGAGCATAACCGCCATAATGGCGATGAGGCCGACGTACAACGGGCACGCACAGAAATCGGGCTCCGATGAGTCGTCCACCGGGTTCTTCACCGGGATAGCGGTATCGGGAGCACAGCATGGCGTATAGGGACTGGTCGCCCCAATGCTACCTTCGTCCACCGTTTCCTGCGGCTTTTCTTCGTGACCAGCCTCGAATTCGCTGGGTTCGTGGGCCCTGTAATGCCAGTACTTCTATACAGCTAAGGACAAAATAAATAGACATTGCCTCTTGATGTTTTGAGCAGCATTTTCACGTTTCAGCCCGGGTGGACTCTGCAGTAAATACTGCACCAACCTGTTTTTGCGCAGATAGGCACATGCCCGATCCAGAGACCTGTGGCCAAGTCCGTAGATGACGAGCGCGAACATCGTTGGTAGATTACTTAACCAAGGCAGTATCCAAATCCATCGCCATAGAACCTCGTATGTTAGCGGTGAATAGGTAGAGGAGTACAGGGACAGCAGTGCCGGATGGCTGGTGTTCCAGCGCGGATAGTCCAAATCCACCCAGTAAGACAGCATAGCTTGGGGGACGCGCATCATACCCTGTTGGGCCCAAAACGCCGGTCAGTGGCTCTGTACACGTGTCTGCCCGCATAAAACTAAGGTCACTTCTATGCGCACGTGTATGCCCGCATAAAATTAAGGTCACTTCTATGCGCCAGTCATAAAGGTCACTTCTACGCAAGCTGTAAACCTGAGTACTGTGCAGTGAAGGAAATGAAATGCACATTTGAGTGCCCTTCCGTCCCGCAACAAGGGACTGGTTCCACTAATTGTGGGATATGTTCAGCAGCGTTTTGCGTCGACCATGTTCTCTCAAAAAGCGCAAACATCGAAAGCGCGAATCATGGCAAAGAGTCCAAATTTCGAGACTGGCCAAACGAAATTATTGAGACGGAAATGTTGAAAAAACAAGACATCAATAATCACGCAAAGACCGAGACGCAAAAAATTCGGCGTATGTTTCCGCCAAAAAGATTGATGCAGCTTGAAAGTCTTGACGTAAATAACGATATGATGTACTAACGGTGTGAAGTATTAACACCTGAATTTACAGCGTATATGGTCTAACATTAGCTGATATATACTTCCTACCAGCACCGTTGGCGACTGTATTAAAAAAGAGATTTTTTTAAGTACTGTAGTGATAAAGAAACGGACTGTAATCGCAATCAGACGTATGGGTTGTAATTAGACTTCGAAAAGTGATATTACCCACTTAAAAAACTTAAAATTTAATTTTGCGAGAAATTTTCCTGCGCATGGCAAATTGACTATGCGCCAAGAATTTTCATGGCGCATAGCACTTTCGTAAAATTAAAGGCAACCATAGTTTTGCAGCGCCTTGTAGTAAATGTTGTACAATACTCCATTTCTATATAACATATTACTGATTATTACTACATATTCAGCATTGTTTTTTTAATTATTCAGTTTCATTAACATAAAAATCAAATTTTATGGAATTAGAATGGAAAAACGTAAGAAATGTTATTGTATTACCATGATACTGCTATTTATACCGATAGAAAAATCCCTCTCTGGCCAATAATGCCGGTAGCGCGCTCTTTTAAACGGGTCCGCCGTGAAAAACACACGTCGAAAAACTAATATTTACGGTCCGTAGCAGAAATTGCCAATAAGCCCAATGATTTGCGCTTTTTTTGTGTATTACGTAGAAAATTAAAAAAAACATTAACTGCAAAACTTCTTTCTCCCGCTATACACTTGTGGTATTATTTCCGGACGGGCTTGTACGTACAAACTACTAACTCAGTATGTTTCAACCTGAATTTGTCTAGTCAGGCTGATGTCCTTTTCTTACCGTTTGATAGGTAATACAATACGTTTCACCGGTTGCGGTGCCGTTAGGATAAAAGGCACGGACGAATAGGCTCCACCAATCCCATGATCGGCGCAAGCTATCCGACGGAGGAATGAAAATTTCTATTGGTCGGATAGTTTCGATTACAGCATAACACCAGCATAATAAGAAGCTTAATTTCAATAAGGTCGCCCAGTATCGATAAAAGAGTATCCCTAGTATTGTTTTCTTCGGTGTTGTGGGCGGGCTTGTAATTTCTGCCGCTGCGAGCGGGGCTTCTTCCACCGCTACCGAATCCTTAACCAGCGCCGTACCACGCATACGCCTGTAAACAAAAAATACGTAGAAATAACTACACTTAAACGTACACTGATAGAAATCAGCGCGATTCAAGATCGGTCCAATATTTTGTAATGGCCGGGTGCGACTGTCCGTAGCACTGATAAAAGTTTACTTTATTACTCACTGAATGATAAATAGGTTATACAATTTGGAATAAAGTCGTTCATATTCAACCAGTCTTTCATTTAGCCATTTACAGGCAGTGTTAAAGTCAGGGAATACGTAAGACACAAATACAAAGCGAAAACATAATTAATAATAAATAAATAACAAGTATCGGTCGCGCTAGCGCGCGACCAGTTGTGTATGAGGTATGGAAGAATGAAGAAATACAAAATATACTTCGTACAGCAATAAAAAAATTTTCGAGAAATATTTCAAATATAAAACCCAGCGAGGCCAGCTACGAAAATATTTTAAACATGCAGAAATGCGAAATTTTTTCAAGCTTTCCGGTTAAATTCGACCATTTTCTGAAAACTGTGAAAGGCCCCGTAAGTTTTTCTTTTTTCATGGTTCTTTATCGCGTTTTTAATGTAACTTTATATTACCGATCTAACGAACTGAAAACTTGAATTTTTTGGTTCCACAGATAATATTTTAACGGTGATAAAATGGATTGAGTGGGGTCATATACTGTATGTATCTGTACACGATGCCCATAAAATATCATTCTTTCAGCGCAGAATTAATGGCAACTTGCGGGGAACAGTTAACGGTCGCCCAAGGTGTCCTTGCAGGCTGCATCTTTAAATGCTAAGTATAAGATTTTTTCAGCCATCAGTCAAGCTCTTCAGTATTTATTAAAATAAAATAAATACATGTTTATTAGATTTCGAGGTTAGTGAATGCCCAAGCTACCACCAGTATCACAGAGCCGCCATGTGAGTGAATACGGTAAACGGGCCGCGGGCCGGATTTTAGATATTTAGAAATTACATATAAATTAGACAATTAAGGGATTTGGCCCGGTACATAATACCAAATTCGGGTAAATACACGGGCTGTCGCGCAATCCTAAACACTTTTTTGCATGGCTAGGTATGTACCTAATATTCATAACGGCTCTCATACTCATACTCATAATCCTACTTCTAATTCCGAATTCATACTCATAACGGCCCTTATAATCATAATTATACTTTGGTCCTACCGGTCATCATACTAATTTATTCATAATTATTGCTCATATCTTAACCATTGCTCATGCTGGTGTGTCAAAAATGTAATATTCAATTACAACCATGTGTTCATGTCAGTCTACTCAACCGCCCGCTTACGTCCAGTCGTAAAAATCATTTCACATGAATTAGTAGCGAAAAAATATTTATTAGAAAATGGCTTCATTACAATATGACTTCAGTAAACATGAACTGAGTAACGAAAGCTAAGTAATTTAATCTGCATATAAAAACTGAGCAAGAAAATCTACCATTGTCCACTTTCGTCCATTTTTTAAACTGGTGCTAAAGTTCAAAAACCTGAAATGTTAATGGGCTTATTACGTAGCTTCTACCAAACAAAAAGTGAACGGACCGTTAACTTTTCATTTCCACAAAACTAAATTTCGACAAAAGCATCGTGTACACTGTACAGCAATGGAACACAGGAACAGTAATAACACAGTTTGCTACCCAGGACAAAAGCAGATATCAAAAAAAATTTTTTTTAAAAAATTCAAGAACGGTGCACAATTTGCGCAACAGCTGTTACTACTTAGTGTCAATATTACGATTTTTACGATTAATAAATAATATAATGCTTTCACTAATAACATTAAGCGCAGTAGCACACTGGTATGAGTAGCGGTAAAGGTTTGAGTTATGAATATGAACAAAAATATGATAACCGGTAGGATCAAAGTATGATTATGATTATGAAAGCCGTTTTGAGTATGAATTCTGAATTAGAAATAGGGTTATGAGTATCAGGACCGTTATGAGAATTAGGGTTTAGGAGCGCGCGACAGCGAAAGTTGCCGTGGATATATACACATTTGGTGCTATGTAGTATGTACTGGGCCAAATCCCTTAAGACCGCGAGATATTGAGGTACTCAGACATTTCTAGACATTTTTAAAATTTCGAAACTCTGGAGGCTAAAAAAATTAGAGGTCACGGCCCCGCTGCGCAGGGCCGAGTCGAAATATTTAGAAATATTTCGAAATTTTGGAAATGTAAAAGCTGTGGAGCCGACTTTGGAAAAATTAATAGTTATTTTGAGGTATTCGAACATGTTTTAAAAACGTCTTACCTGGGCACATAGGGGTCCTCCAAATTCAGAAAAATTTCATATTTTGTGAAATAGTAGTATACTATCGTAGTATGCTTGAAAAAATATTTTCATCTGCCATGGTCAAGGGGGCGTGGCCAGACAGCATTTAAAGGTTTGCATATGATCACATACTATGCAATGCAGTGAGTGGAGTTATTCGTAATTAGTAATTAGTTATATTAAATTTTTACTGTAGCACCGTGAACTTTTGAAATTATCGAGTGGTGATGTAAACGAAGACCACGTGCGGCGGCTTGTGTCACTGCTGCCTAAGGCCCTAAATACACTTTTCGAAAATTTCAGTACGAGTACATATCTGCTAATCAGTAAAATAAGTTTTTTGCACGGTTTACTACATACAATACTAACTGATAAAAAATTTTTGAAAATGTGTACTCAGGCAACAATGACACGAGCCGCCGCACGTGGGCATCGTTTACATCACAACTGGACAGCTGCAAAAGTTTACGGTGCTACATACAGTAAAAATTCAATATAAAACTAATTACGAATAACTCCGCTCACTACATTGCATAGCATGTGATGTGTTAACACGCAAACTTTTAAATGCTGTCTGACCACGCCCCCTTGATCATGGCAGATGAAAATATTTTTTTAAGCATACTACGATAGTATACTACATTTTACAAAATATGAAATTTTTCTGAATTTGGAGGACCCCTATGTGCCCTGGTTAAAGGTTTCAAGAACTTAAAAAAAGTTATAATTTTGAATTTTTGATGGAATTGACAATTTAAATAACATACACAGATCTGTAGTTCAGGTTGCTAAGCTGCGAAATTTGTATTTGCTCACTCGAGACGTTTCCAGAATTTACTGGAAATTTCTATGAACTTTAAACGTTAAGTACAGAAAGTTTGAAAGGGTTTCTGAAAACGTTCCGGAAACCAGAAATTTTTTCCAAACTGCAGGTAGGAAGCTTTGGGAGACGCTTTATTTTATAAAATTAACAACTTAGTGGAAAAGTCAACGCTTAATTAGGAGATACAGTAATTTCCAAAACTAGTAACCGTCAAGTACTAACAACCCTTAAGTACTACAACTTTTAAAAAATTTTTAGACCTTCTCCAAAACTTAAGATTTTTTTAAAGATAAAGGTAGGAACGTTCGTGCGATGCTTTATTTTATAAAATTATCAACCTACTGGAAAAAATCAATCTTGATTTAGGAGATAATTTCCAAAAAATAAGGACATAAGGATATATGAATCTATTGACTATTGATAAGGTATTACATAGTAACAATTAGTACTGTAATAAATAAGGAATAATAATTCGATTACTGTTTTAGATTAAAAAGCTTCGTGGGATGTTTTAAAAAACGACTTTGAACGATATTATTTTAGCATCTTGCCTATGGTACCTGAGCTTGTTGCTGATCCAGGAAAAGTATGTTTCCTTCATCCATAAACCCCAAATGCGGCCGGTACAGTAGATACAGAAAATGTTCATCAGCAACACACAGCATGGGAACACGGCCTTCAGACCGCACGTTTTAATGGCTAGGGCGGCCGCAGTTCCACCCATTAGGACAACTGGCAGTACCCGCAGCACCAGCCAGACGAGAGCACAGACCGATGCGATAAAAAGCACAACTAGCAGGTAGAGGAATCTCTCGATGAAGGACACCCAAGTCGGTAGTTGATGGGACCAAGTGGCGAACGGGATGTGGTTGACCCAGCGGCAGTGTTTTTTCCATGGCGAATATCTCCAATTCCGATTTACCAGCAGCGAACATCCCACCGATACACTGAGGAGGACCGCGGCGCAGACGGTAATGAAGACGGCGACATAGCCTAGGCGACCGCGGTGGTCATCAGCGGCCGGATCCGGTGTGGACTCACTATCCGCAACGGTATCGGCCGTCGTAGGAATCCAAGAGGATACAATCTCATCCCAAATGCAACCGTCCACTGGCTAAAATAATTGTAATACTATGTGATAGATGCTGCTTTAATATTCCGACGGTATTTAGGCGGGTATATGCATATTTCGACTTTTCTTAAGAGAAAACTGATAAAAAACATTTTAAAATTGGAAAATAAGGCCAGAATTCCGGTTCCGTGTCCTCATGTTTATGTGCATTATTATGCACCACTTTAAGGTGATCGGTCCATAACTAGACTTTTGGTACACCCTTCTAGCATTTAAAATTTTCGAAATCTTGTTTACACACACAGTTTCCCAACCGGATGTTGCGCGTACATACGGTTTTCACACGAACGTATACAAATTATTTGACTTTAAAATGCAATAAAACGGCGCAAAAAAAAGCACGGAAGTGCGCGAAGTGAAAGTTTTCATGTACTTAAGTTTTTATGCATGTACTGGAACTTAGCAACATGTATAGGATCACTTCCTTTATTACCGGTCATTTGCGTTATATTTGAACGGTCACCTACGTATTCCAGTTTCCTCATGCAGAAAAAGTTTCAAAAAATTTGGCTAGTAGTCCTCGTTTTGCATTTGACATTCATACATAAATGTTCTAATCCCGATTCAGGAGTTCTAATCTCACTTCTCATGTAAGGAAACATAGTATGACCACTATAAATTCTGAACTGCGATCCGCACTGCACCTGGTGTGAGATCAGTATTGCAGTTTGCAAATCTATGAGTAAATGCCAAATACAGTTATTGAAAAAAAATTTCAAAAATAATTGTAAGGCAACTGTATTTGAAATTTTTCCGGTTTAGATAAAATCGGGATAAGCCCGGATAGTTTGTGTTTTGCTGTTTAAATTGTGGGCCAATATAGTGCAGTTGAACACCGAAAAATATATAATTAAAAAACTAAGAGCAAATGCAGAAGTTTTCCTAAAAGCTTGTTTCTGTTGATTTTGCTGTGGACAAATGCGCAACAGCAAAATTAATCAAACACTTTTATTAATAACTTTTCCTCATCCATTAACCCTATTTTACACACCCTATTTAACCCTATCTGTATGGAACTTACGTATCCCAGTTCTGCCAGAATGCTGTCGAGGCCAGTTTTATAATCGGGATCAAGCCGAGTGTTCTGCCATTCGGGGAAGAATCTGGTGCCGAACTTCAGCGCAATTTGCAACGCGAACCACAGAACCACTATGGACTCGGCGATAATTTCCTGATACGCCCATTTGTGATCACGATTTAGGAAGTCTCCAATTGTTTTTCGATATTTGCCCATTGCGCCAACTGATGCTGCACTGCTGCGAGAAACTCTACTAAAATTTACAATTGGCAACTCTTGCATTAATAGCTGGCAGATGGATTTATAACTAAGTAAACTGCCTGACTGCTCCTCACATGACGAGCTCCTGTTCCTAGAATCGTCGCACCCAGATTTGTACTATGGATTATTTTTGACTCCGCCTTCCTTGGTGCACGTAGTACTATTACTGTATCTCTTCCCTGCGCCCTTATACTCGTATTAATGCGGTCTCTCTACACTAGTTTCCGCTTCAGCTTGAACAACGCATGCGTCGATCAATATACAGTTTGCGATGCGGCTGAAGGCGGAAATCGTGAGCGAATTGAATTCAAATATTGCGTGATCGCTCGGCGATGCAGGTTCGTTGTATGGATCGAAGGGGTCCCGCCCCTTCGATCGTTGTATGGATCGAAGAGGTCCCGCCCCACGCAAAGTGCGTGCGTGCGCGCTTCTGCATTCTTCTCTTTGCACAAAGTAATTCCCGTTCACCAAAATAACAAAAGACGGTTGATGGCGGAAATAGTTGGAACTGTATCCTAGCCTAACACTGCTGACAGTACTAGTGAGAGTTGCTGAGCAGTGTGAGGAGCTGACAGAACAATATTAATACTGCCACATTAACAATGCCTAGAAAATCTTTCAGTCACCACGCTAAATCCTTTCGAAAGATCTCAGTATAATGTCAACACGTCGAGTGCTTAAATACCCGGCAGCATTTTTCCTGAATTGCTAAAGGTCACGATGGCACTGATACAAATATTCACCGGTTTCTTTGTGTTTTATTGCTTTTTTCCCTTGGGTGACTTACTACGGCAAGATCATGTTCTTTCCGTGATCCTGTTAAATATCTATTTCTTTTGAGAGCAAGCAGTTCTGAACCATGTTTTTGAGCATTTTTTTCCGGCTGTAGTTAGCGGCCGCACGTTTTGACCTATGGCGTAGATGTAGGTTTTCCACATATGGCGTGGCAGACCGTATCCACCGGCGCTTCGGGATAAAGGTCACCCCAGTACAAAACCTGCTTAAGTCGGAAATGAAGGTGCACAGCAGTGCCTTAAACGATATGAATGCCGGGATATTTGTTTAGTATGATTTTTTTCGTCTCCAGCGCGGGTAGAGATTGAAGACTATATATATATATAGGCTTCGTCACTGCGGGCTTCTCAACGCTGCCAGCAATATTTTACAACACAATAAGCCAATCTAAATTCGCTAGATGTTTCTCATTAATACTTTGTAGCCCAATCAAACCACTAAGCTTGTTTGCATTTCGTAGGTTCTAACGAGATATTTTCTTACATGTTTTCCATTGTCTTTCTTTCTCGTTTTCTTTTAATTCGTTTTCTGGCTATTAGTATGAAAACCATGATTTTTTTTCTGTTAGGGCATCTTTATATTCAGCACTGTGGACGCCGCCCACTTTAAAAGATTAAGTGCGCAGTCTGCTGAAGTAAGGTCAAAGAGTGCGCATTCAATTAGCATAAGGTACTGACAGTTCAACAGATATAAAAAATTATAAGGTTCTAACAGTTGTAATTAATGAACACCTTGTCTTCCGCATAGAATATTCTGTGTGTTATTACACACTTTGCGTATTATTAAATGTGTTTTGTCTAGTACTAACTTCTCGAATGCACAAGATTTAAAAAAAGTTGAAATTCGCTAAGAAAACGTTAGAGGGATCATTCAAAAAATAATTTCAATTTATTTGTGTCTTTTATAGAATTTGGTAATTTTCTAAGACAAAATCTACCGTCGCCTTGCGCTTCGCGCAAAACGGCTATCATTATACGTCGCAATCACATCGTCATCGTCGTCGTCCCTTATAAAATGGACTTTTACGCACACATGTAATAAACTTACATAACCCAGCCTTCCCAGGAGAACGTCCAAATCGGTCAGTGTCACGGGATCGATGCGAGTGTCCTGCCATTCCGCGAAGAAGCGATGTTTTTTTATGTTTTACACATATTAATTATCTTGCACCTGCCGCAATTCGCGAAGGTGAGCTGCTTAAACAGGGATAGGGAAAAGCCGTGTTGCTATGAGCCCACGATGGCTTCCCGGCACACGTGAGCCCTACGTCGTCAACCGCCCCATGGCTGCAGCGCGCTGCAGATCACTGCCCTGGACACTGGGTAATGCGTGTACAGATTCCCATATCCCACACTCCGTTCCGTTTGACTTGTGACCGTCGGTGCTGCAGTACCTAGTACAGTTTGGCATAAAATGACATGTACTGAAATGCACTTCAAGTTCGGAGAACCCAAAAAAACAAAAGTTTTATTGGAGTAAAATATGGTATACAGGAATTTGTTCCCAAGTGTGCCGGGCCGTTTTCTGAGATGAACATATAAAATCCGTACGAATCGTTTCCGTCGGGCGCCCATGCTGTTTACAGCGGTCAGCCATTTTCAAGAACTGCTAAAAGTCTTGTGGGCCTTAGTGCAAAATGTTAACCTGCTCTGCCGTAGCCCGTGAGTCAATGCCCTGCCCTGAAGATAGTGAGAGGTTCCTGTGACTCTGACTACATTATTTATTTTTGTTCAGGGCTTCGCGGTCAGCCATTTTCAAGAACTGCTAAAAGTCTTGTGGGCCTTAGTGCGAAATGTTAACCTGTTCTGCCGTAGCCCGTGAGTCAATGCCCTGCCCTGAAGATAGTGAGAGGTTCCTGTGACTCTGACTACATTATTTATTTTTGTTCAGGGCTTCGGTTGTCCGCAGGAGATTTGACGTTATATAATAAGACAGATTATGTAGAGAGATATTTAGTGTTCGGTTGTTGCATGGCATTTGATAGAAAACGTTTTATTTTATGCAGAAGATAGAATACTTACGTAGTATACTTGCGAACCTGTTTTGCGGAGATCAGCGCAGTGTACAATACTACATTTTTCTTGTGTTTTCTGATAATCGAATGTGTTGGCAAGCGCTTATTTCCCACCTGCGTACCGAAAAGACATGAGTTCGAATAGCAAATCTGACAGTTTAATAAGAGTGGTCAGTATAATTCACAATGGCGCGCACTGGGAAAGCAATCCGGTTGTTTAAGTATGGAAAACATTTTTCGCATTCTATCCATTAGTCCTACTCCTACCGAAGACGGACACTGCCTTTCCTCGCTGTATGCACTTTGGAAATTATTTATAATTTCGGACATACTTTAATGTGCAAAAGTCAAAACTACAGACTAAAACACAGACAACAGACTACAGACTTTAATGTCAAAACTACAGACTAGAAATACAAGAGTAGTTTCTGAATGCAAAGCTGTAGTGGAATACCGTACGGAACAGATGGTGAGTGCTTCAGAGCTGTCCATACGCACGAAGAAATTTTCCGGATCCAGGCTGCTACTTAAATTAATAATGCTCAGTCAAATGAATCAATAACAACAATCACTTATGTATTTTGGAAAATTAATAATTTGTGTAAGCCTCGGATAAATGTATCCACTTGTTACTGCTCTGTTGTATTAGTAAAATTTCCCACTAGCTGTAGAAAGTATGCTTAAGGATATCTAATTGCTCCTGCGTTAACGCATCGAAACTGCGGCATTATATAGCCCAGGAAAAGACGTTGGACCGCCATCCCTCACTGCCCGTGGATGGAACCAGGGCCCGTGTGTCCTGCCGCAACTCCCGAACCTCCTGCAGCCGCTTCCAGCAAAGCCAGGCTCCATGCACGGTCACCAGTAGCAGAAGCGCCCACAGCTGCAGTGCCTCGGGAACGAGCAACTGCACCAGCGGATAGGCCATATAGAAATAGCACACAACTCGACGGAGCGTAGCCAAAATGAAGGCGGTGAGGTCGACGCCCAACCAACACGCACAGAAATAGGGCTCCGAGAGGCCGTTCAGCGTGTTCTCCACCGGGATTGCGGTGTCGGAAACGCAGCACGCCGTATCAGGAGTGGTCGTCCCGATGCTATTGTCGTTCATCGTTTCGTGCGGCTTTCCGTCGCGGCCATCCTCGATTTCGCCGGGTTTCGTAGCGCTATAATGCAAGAAGGATATTAACGTAAGGACAAAATCAGTAGATGCTTCGCGCATAATTACTGTAAACAGCATTTCCACCTTCCAGTCGGGTGGAATCTACATATACCAACCTGTTCTTGTTCAGTTCGTCACGTGACTGGTTCAGGGATCTGAAGCCACGGGCCCAGTAGACGAGCGCAATCATCACTGGTACACTGTTCATATAAGGCAGTATCCAGATCCACCCGTAAAGAAGCTGATATGTTATCGGTGAGTAGGTGGAGGAGTAGAGGGACAGCAGCGCCGGATGGCTGGTGTTCCACCGCGGATAGTCCAAATCCATCCAATATGACAGCATTGGCTGGGAGACGTACATCATACCCTGTTTGGGGCGGCAAAACACCGGTCAGGTAACGAGTTTACGTTCGCTTCCAACCGTAATTTTTACAGGACATTGTAGACGCAGTATTATGCAGACGATTATCTGGGTTCATAAGCGTAAAAATCAAAAACCGAATTAGGGTGGAATATTGTGATGTACTGTAACTTGCTGTTTCTGCAGTTGGCAACCATATCGTTGCCAACCTATTTTTACGTACGTAGTAACTCACCATTAATTTTGACAATCAGTTGACTGCCGGCAAGGTAAAGTCATAATTATTTCATGAATATATAACAACTACTATATTGTACGATGATTGTGCCGGTACAAACAGCCGTTCCGTGGCCAGTGATACCGGTAGCGTGCGTTTTTAAGTTGACCACCAGGTCCAAAGTTAAAGAAAGAGGTCAAAAAAAGGATTTGGTGTACATACGGTGTGTAGCGGAAATGACCACCCAGCCCATTTAGTTGTGCTTTACTCGCCTTATTTATGGTTGGAAGATTGAAAAAACAACTGCAAAACTTCGCGTTCGATCGAAGGTCATTGCATTACGGGTGTGGCGGCTGATTTCTAGTAGGGAAATAATTGCGCTACCGGTTTCATTGAGCCTTTTTTTGTACGGAGGAGCACCCGATAAGAGCGCTATTTAAACCCCGTTACATATTACGAGTACTATCCGTACTTTTAAAGTTCGGTGCGGGTACAAGCACGTCAGAGAATACGGACGCAAATGTCGCGAAATAGATTGCGTGAAGTATAATGATGAGTAATTACTGTATAGTGGTTCGGTTGCTTTAGTGATGTGTACTATGTGTATAGCGGATGCGAGCACCCGTGGCTGCGTAAAATGCTTATGAATATGACATTGTTGTTTTCATCCTGACCTCAGTTACCGTAAAAACAGGGCCGCAACTTCCCGTATGTTGTCCGAATAAATTAAGCCCATTCGTTTCATTTCTCCCGCTGTACACTTACGTCCTTATTTCCGAACGGGCTTGTCTCAGTTGTATGTTAAAACTCGCATTTCTTCGAATAATCATTCAAATTTAATACTCTTCAATCAGGATTTGTCTGGTCAGGCCGGTGTAATTTCCTTACCGTTTTATACTTCATACAATACTTTTCGTCGGTTCCGGTGTCGCTATCTTTCGGGATGAAGAGACGCCACCAAGCCCATGAACGGCGGAGGAGATCCGACGGAGGAATGAAAACTTCCAATGGTAGGATATTTTCGATCACCGCACTATACCAGCATATCATGAAGCTTAATTTCAATAAGGTGGCGCAGTATCGGAAAAAGAGTCTCTTTATCGATCCTTTTCGCCGTGATCCCTTTCGCTACTGCAAACGGGCTTCTGGTTTCTGCCGCTAAGAGCGACATCGCTACCGAATCTTTAAGCAGCGCGGCACCGCACATCCGCCTGTACCCATAGAAAAACACGTAGCAAAGGCGTTAAAGTATTGCATAAGAACCACTATGTCTAATTTATAGATAATCATTTAATTACACTCCGTGAAAGGAGTGCACTGTAAATACGAGTATCAACGATTCTAATTTAGAATTTTGTCTATGGTACCAGAGACCTGTTTTTGATCCAGGTAAAGTACGCATCCTTCATCCACAAACCCCAAATACGGCCGGTGCAGTGGATGCTGAGAGTGCTCACCAGTAGCACACAGCACGGGAATACGGCATCCTGTCCGAATATTTTCATGGCCACGGCGGCCGCAGCTCCGGCCACTAGGAAAACGGGCAGTACCCACAGCACCAGCCAGACGAGAGAACATACAAAAGCGCTAGAAAATGCCACCACCATGTACACCCAGGTCACTGCGGCTCTTAGCAGTGTGGGTATTTGAAGGAGCGAAGTGCCGATGGAGGACCGTTTGCACCAGCGGACGTGCTGGGTCCCTGGCGGATATCTCCAGTTCCGGTTGACCAATAGCGAGCATCCCACCGACACACTGAGGAGGACCGTGGCGCATACGGTGACGAAGACGGCGACATACCCGAGGCGCCCTCGGCGTTCGTCGGCGGCCGGAATCAGTGTGGACTGATTACCGGTAACGGTATCGGCCCGAGATGGCTTCCATGCGGACACAATGCCATCCCACATACAACCGTCCACTGGCTAAAATATATTATGAGGTATAATTACGATATGATTGTTACGGTACATAATTACGGTATGTGTATTTCGTTTGTTCTTAACAATCTGTTATTTTCTCTATAATTGATAATCATCAATCTATCATTTTGAATGATTTATTAAACCCGTATTCTGGCTTGCTAGAAAATTTTGAAAAACAACACCATTACAGTTTCCGTTTTGCATTTCACTTTTATACATAAATGCGTCAGTCACTATCTAAGAATTCTAATCTGAATTCCCACACACAAAAAGCAAAATTTGTCAACAGTTTAACTGTAAACTATAAGCCGCGATCAGCACTGCATTTGGCATCGGGGCGTGCATGTGTGTCAATTAACTGATGGTTACAACGTTAAAATTTAATACAGTGAGGCTCAGAGAGTTATGCATAACAATTATTTTAGAAATTTTTCCCGTTTAGATAAAAGCGGTAAAATGTGCCTTTCTGCTGCTTAAAATGCGGTGAATATAATGCAGCCGATTAAATACTGGAATTTTAAGAAATCAAGTGGTTTTGTTGTTTTAATGAGCACAGCATTAAGATAAAGCACACTTAAGCACCTCACTTAAAATACTCTTCGGAAAGAGTAAGAGCATAATTTTCCTGCACCTTTCTTCCCTATTGCTTTCTACTGTGCACACAGGCGCAGCAGCAAATAAAAAGCTCCTATTACTACTGTAATTTGTTCTTCCTCCATTAACCTTATTTTGCCCAAATGGCCCAATCTGCATAAACACCTACATGTCCCAGTCTTGCCAAAAGTTTGTCCAAACCAGTTTGATAATCGGGATCCAATCGAGTGTTCTGCCATTCGGGGAAGAATCTGGTGCCGAACTTCAGCGCAATCTGCAAGGCCAACCAGAAAAGCACCACGGCTTCGGTGATAATTTCCTGGTTCGCCCAGGCATGATCCCGATTCAGGACGTCTCCAACTGTTTGATGATATTTGCCCATTGTCAGTGGCGGCTAACCGGGCGTTGCCTGTTTGGAAATGCTCTACCAAAATTTAGAAAGCAGGTTTTGTGGTGCTGATACCTGGCAAATGAATCTATAACTAAGTAAACTGCCTAACTGTTATTCGCACGAAGAAGCTCAAACTCTTCTCCGTGTATCGACGCACCCAGATTTATGTTATTGATTATTTTTCCATACTGTCACTGACTCCGCCTTCCTCAACGCGCGTAAGTTGTGCGCTAGCATCTCCTCCCTGTACATTTATACATATTACCGTGGTCTCCCTACAGTTTGCATTAAACCCTGCACAACACACATGACACAACACAAACGGCTCTGGACGGAAGTCGTGAGCGCATTAAAGTGTTGTATGATCGCTCATCGATGCAACTTGCATCGACATACATTGTATAACGAGTACTTGTATATAACGAGTACTTGCATCATGTAAGTACAGAGTACTCGTTATATGACAAACCTGCTGCGTGCGCGCTTCTCGGTATTCTTCCTTTGCACGAAACACTTTGCGTTAACCAAATCAGGAGGCATGACGGGTGATGATGGAAATACGAGGGCCATTTCATAAAAAGTTTCAGTCGATAAGCCGTTTTTCACTGTAACATTTTTTCTTGCTCATTTCCATAAGTTGCGTTTCTCGAGTCTTGGCTGCTCTGCAGGTACATGTTTCCTGTCACTTGAAATGAATCCAAAAAAAATTATGCGGCAAAAAAGAGATCAACCCATAAAAATTTCGACCATCGCCCGATTTCGATTCTCCTTTCTCTTTTACTTTTTGCCACGCAATGATTTCTTTAAAGTTTGAAAAGTTTTTAAAGCAACAGATTAAGGTATGTGAATATAGCGGATGTACTGTATAGAAATATTCCAAGTTAAGGTCGGGAAAATATTACTGCAGGGATGGAAGCGCCAAAGTATGTGTTTCCCTGGTGTTGAACCATACGGATGATGCCGTGATAGTGCCATATTTTACCAAATGTACCACTATTCATCCGTGGTCATCTTGTTATGATACAGATAAGATACAGATAATTATTAAAGTAGTCATTAATAGTTGTTATTGAGATAGTTATTAAGCTACAGATGAAATAATAAATACAAAGGATTAACATCATTAGGAACCAAGGATTAACATCAAGGATTCCAATAAGGCATATGCGACTGTTTACGCGTAATAATGTATGCTCGAGATTAATCACCAGCCACTAGCCGCTGCCTGTCACGCATATTTCGTGGATGCTGCTGCGCATTAAATAATTAATATATAGCACATGCAGAATAGCCAGCTGATAAATGTTTTCGACTTTTCGCATCCGTCGTTCCATCGGTTCCTCCAGTTGCACTTCAACGTACATCTGCATTCGGCCGCTTTACATAAGAAATTCCAAGAATTCCAAGCAGCATGACGAAGTACCGGTAGCCAGCGGCTTTCGCAGCTGGAGAACCTCTCGCAGACGCTTGCAGTTATTCCAGGCTCCGTAGCCGGCTAACAGCAGCAGTAGTGCAGCCATTCGGGATTAGCAGCTGCACCAGAGGATCATATAGGTATATATAGAGGATCATATATAGCTGCACCGGATAGGGCAGATAGTACCAGAACAGCAGGCGCTGGATGATAACCGCCGCAATGGCGACGATGCCAGCGACCCGGGTACAGATACAGTAGCACGCACAGCTGCCACCGGCGTTCATCGTTCTCTCCATGGCGACAGTGAAATGATCACAGGATCACGCGTCATCGAGTTCGCTGGTATCACCGCTATCGTCTTCCACGATTTCCGGCAGCTCTTCGCTGTGATAAGCGTCGCTGTCGTCGGGTATGGGAGCATTGCAGTCCAAACAGATTTTTATGGACATTTATGAAAAACTCAGTCCGTACCAAAGATGCGAAAGGATTTCAAGATAAAAGGGTACAAACACACTCGGTGCTATATTTATTTACTGAATTTGTTGTCTGTTTTACTAAATATTTTGTAGGTCGGCAAGTCATTTATTGATCGACAATGGTTAGTGTTATTTACTAATAAGAATTTTCCGGGATATACAGTAAATAACCGCAAGAAGTGCGACCAAACGACTCCAAGCCGAACCTCGGATATCAAGCGCACACATAGTGGATGTGTGACGGACCGGCGTCACGAGAAAATTCGTAACAGACAGTCAAGCGCGGACGGACGTGAGAACAATTTGTTGGATGACAGTTAGCGGTATGACATTGAATTTGGTTGTACGGACATTTCATCGCGGGACACTTTCAGTCACGCGTATTTCTCCGCAGAGACCATTCGCTTTGGGAGAGCTAGTTGCGCCATCGTTTAGCTCTTCTGGGATTCAGAAAACTAACGATTTCTTATAAGTTTATGGCAACGAAAAGCCATATGATTATTTTTCGCAAAAACAAATTGTCTTTATACTAACTGGCCTATCCCCGGGCACAATGCGACAAAACAACTTTACGTAGAAATGCCGGTGCGGTTTCTATGCGCAAGGGACATCTATTGTGTATAAAACGGCGGCGGCTCAGTTGATTAATGAAGGATTGGTAAATTATTCCCAGGAAAATCGCAGTCACTATGAAATGCGCTCTGTTTGGTGGAGTCTAGTGCAGAAACTGAACATACCTGTCCTCAGTGTCGTGGTCTTGACCGGCACGTGGCTGCTGTCGAAACCAGGAGCCACAATTATTGCAGAGCCAGATGAGGTAAATAAAGATGATCAGCGCCGGTACATAATTCATGGCAGGCAGTGACCGGATCCAGCTACAAATAAACGCACCCGCCACTGGTGAGTAGGTGGAGGAGAAGAGGGACTGGAGTCCCGGATGGCTGGTGTTCCATTGTGGGTAGCCTAAATCCATCCAATATGACAGGATTCCCTCGGCATATTCCATGCCCTGTTGGAGCAAAACGCATGTTAGTGGAACGCGGCCTTCATCACATGGCCTGCGACTCGCGTTGCATAGTTATCGATAGGCTACCCAAATTTTCAACCGATTCGCAGTACAATACATTGTAAGAACGAACGTATAACGAACGTACATGTGTGTCGTATAACGAACGTATAATGAACATAAAATACGTTTGTGGAATGTCTATATATTCAGATAGTCCCTCCTAAACACCTTCCTTTTACTAGTATGGTCGTACGCGTGTAAACAATACTGTCGTTCCCATGTAATTATCCTTCTACCATATGTAATCGTCATTCTTTGTATCGCCGTTTCGGGTGTGTTTTTATCCTTTGACGCTCTACAGTAGTCCTTGTACAGACAATTCGGTCTGTCCTATCAGAAAAAGCGACAATGTTCATCATTAAGGTTCATCATCACTGTCATTATTAGTAGAACAATAGAACGTAAAATTAAACAGTACAATAAAGTAACATATCATCTACCATACGTTGGGTTTGACTAGAATGCTAATTTTATTATCCTTACCGTTCTGTAATCATGACAGTATGTTCCGGTGTGGTTATAATCCCGGTCGTATGGTCTCCCCCACCGCGATGCCGGATCCTAGGGATCAGACGAAGGAATGGAATTCTCCAGTGGTTTGATAAGCGTATACGCAGCATAACTCCATATAGCTAAGATGCCAAGTTTCAATTTGAAAAAGTTGCGTCGCAATTTCAGTCTGGATTTCATCTCCATCTCCGGTGTCCAGTTCAGTAGGGATGGGGGGATTTGGATATCTGCCGCTTTAAGCGGAACTTGTTTGATCTCTGAAGAATCCCCCACCAGCGCCACACCGCACATCCGCCTGTACACACCGAAAAGACAGATGCACGTCTCGAAAACACGCAGTCAACCCCATCTATTAGAGAACTATTTACCAGGAACTACTGAAATATTCAGTTCGTAGATTCTGATGATGTTGCATTTTTTGGTTTTGATTATGAGATAAAGGTGCAAGAAATCGTTATCGAACCAAAGACCGTTAGGTTCAGCCGAGATATCGCATAAACTGAACAGTTGAGATAATCAGTCAGAGAACAAGAATATTTTATTCATTTTTAACAATAAGCACCCTGCCTTCCGTACTTGAATTTACTGTTTATCCAGTCAAAGTATGTGTCCTCCATCCACAATCCCCAAATGCGGCCAGAGCACACACACACACAGGACACAACACGGGAACACGGCCGCCTGACCGACGGTGTCAGTGACTACGCAGGCAGCGGCGCCGCTCACCAGCACAACGGGTAACCCCCATAACAACAGCCACACACAGAAACCGACCATCATGGTGAAACCTGTTGCCACCATCGCGCCGAGCAGCAACCCGGTGAATGCGCAGCCAGTTAGTGGTGATGACATAACGCCGTCGAAGAACGCCCGGATGCACTGGCACCGCCGAATGTGTTGTGTGAACAGGTGGTAGCGCCAGTTGCGATTGACAAACATTGAGCAACACACGGATACACTCAGAAGAACCGTGGTGCAGACCATGGTGAAAACGGCGACGTAGCCCAGTTGGCCGCGGTGTTCGTTGGCCGCCGGGTGCGGCAGGTTGTCTTTATCGTTGATGCTTTCGGCGCCCGAGGGTATCCATCCGGAGACGATATCATCCCAATCGCATGCGCCCATTGGCTACCGTATTAACTTTTAACGGTAAAATTATAACGACGGTTGCAAAACTTTAAGAACCGGACGTGTCACGGGCCCGCTCCCATCCCAGAATAAAATTTTTATTTCGCATGAAGTAGAAACAAGTTCGTTATAGTAATTTTCGTAATTCTTAATCTAGGTGGGCGAAACCTCGTGATTTTACTAACAGAATAACGTATGTTTAGATTTTGCAGTTAATTATTATTAAAATCATGTTATACCTTCAAATGACATACGAAGATTTCTGGGATGGGAGGCGGTGGCAAGTCCCTGATGAGTTTGCGCTTGCATTGTCTGAAAAAGTTTGAATTGCTAGCGCTTGATAAGTTATTGTAATTTTGTTTAATGATAACGCGGCATTTACAGTATAAAAGGCGAAACATGATTATTAATATAAGGCGACACAGTATATATTTTTCAAGTCAAAATTACGTGCCAGCACCGTGCCTTTTGCTAAATGTTTTGCATGAATAGTAAGTACTACGGTACTGATATGTCGATGAACGGCAATAACTTCTTCAGTAAATTTCCTATCATGTTATTCATGGATTTGAGGTTTCGCGCATGCATCTATCACACTTACATTATACATAACCCAGTCTGGCCATGAGGTTGTCCAGATCCGTCGGTACAGCGGGATCGACGCGAGTATTCTGCCATTCCGGAAAGAAACGCGTGCCAAACTTCAGCGTAATGTGCAACGCCAACCAGAGAACAACCACGGCTTCGGTAAGGATTTCCTGATAAGCCCATGTACGGTCCCGGTCCAAGATGTACCCAATTGTCTTTCGGTATTTATTGTCGACGGTTGTCGACGGCTGTCAATCGGCGCTAAACTGGTGGAAAAAGCTTAACAGAACTCCATAGTTTTTAAAAATTTGGCGTTGGTAATAGGCGTTTAGATTTATGTACAACTGGCAGTCACGTAAGGAGCTGAGATTTACAGCGGAAAGACATATGCGCGGTTATTATAGTTTAATACCATCCTTGGTGACTGCGCGACCCTTTATCCACAGAACGCAGTGCTTTAATATAATCCTTGCTCCCACATACACTGTAGAAGTATATGTTATTGGGTCTCTGTACAATTTCCGATTTACCTACAGCAAGGACTGCGACGATCAATACCGTTTGTGGTGCGGGTAAAACTGGAAATCGTGAACGCACTGGAGTAATTATCGATCGCCTAACGATGCAAGTTCACGGTCAGGAGTCGAAGGATCTCCAGTGCCCACTTGGAGCGCTGCTGGTCGGTTCATTTCCTTTGCAAACTTTGTTTTCTTGAATTTCGGCAAATGACGAATTTTGACGGACGATTAAAAAAATACGTAGCTGTACGACTGCATCGAAATACTATACAGTATTAAATAATATACGTAAGCGCGGCACGCCTACTTCCGGTGCGACATCACGGCAAGGCAAGAAATCCATATGCAGATTAACGCTCGTGGGCTTCATAGATGGCGATGTTATTCGCTTTTAAGTTCGCACAAGGTCAAAAGTAGCGAGCTACAGTATATAGCATAAAAAACTAAAGACATTTCTAAGACTTTTGGTGTATATGCAATGTGAGCGCACTGAAGTCCGAATTAACCTTGTAAAAATTTAGCGATAAAGAAAAACGCGGCCGCACTGTTAGACACAGAAACACATTAATTTAAATCTAGATTCATAATCATAGTAATGGACATTGCTGGTATGGCGGAAGGAAAGGTGATTAGAATTCCAGATTTGATTTGGCTATACTAATTAGTAGTCTAGTACAGAGTATGTCATTATCAATCAGTATTCTGTGCCTTCATTATCCAGTTTAATTATGCAATAGCCATCAAAATATCGTGAACTCGGACACGGTACATCACCGGTAAAATTTACACGTCGAAAGAATTACTACAGCTTATACCCTCCTCTCTTGGGTTAAAAGGCTATAAAATAATTAGTACAAAAAAGTATTTCCAATTGCACGAAGGAAGAATTCTATAAGAATAAATACGCCATACACCAATTGTTACCAAGCAAGTACCGGGCCATTTTCTTAACAGACCGGACAGACTGGACATGTTGAATCCTTGCGACTTATTTCCGTTGTACTGCGGGCGTTGAACACCCATAATGTGTGCAGCGGATAGCCCTTCTCACGAATTGTTAAAAGTCTTGTTGGCATGAGTACGAAATGTTCACCTGTACGTTCGTAGCCCATGAGTCTTTGCGCACTCAGTACCCTGATAAGCAAGGTTTCGGTGATCCTATAAACTGATATCTTTTCGTTTTTCTACTGTTTGCGCAAGCGATTTGGCGTTATGTAGTAACCCAAATCAGAGAGATATTTAATGCTTAGCTTAAAAAAGGATAAGTTTCTTTTCGTTCGGAGTTTTCGGTAGATACTTGGCGATACGGAAAAATTTCATTTCTATACAGAAGGTAAAATACTCAGCTGATATACAGTAGTTGCGAAACTGTTTTGCTTAGATCAGCGCATTGTACTGGTACTATACCTTTTTTTCTTGTATTTTCTGATAATCGAATGTTGGCATGCGAACATTTCCCGCCTGCTTACCGGAAGAACTGAGTTCAAAAACTTCGAATAACAAATTCAACAATTTGATTTTTGTTAAGCGAAATACGCAACTTAGGCGCGCACCGGTAATTTGTAAAACAATAAGCAACATGGTAGTTTACACAGGGAAAGCATTTTCCGCTTTCTGTCCATTACTCTACCCATTAAGGCAGACTCTGCATTTTCCCGCTGGAACGGACAATAACAAAAAATTACTATTCTATTTTATTACTCTAGCTTCAAAAAGTATTTCCAAAGTTTTATGTCCAAAGGACAAAACTACCGACTAGAAATAATTTAATAGAAGCCGCCGTAGTGGTGATACCGCCCAAAAAGGTGCTGAGTTGGTGTGTAGTTACTAATGCAGAGATTTACAACACATACAGGAAAATTAATAGTTTGTTTTTGTGTATAGTCTCTGATTAATGCATCCACTGCAACAATAAATCCCGCTGAATGTTTAACCAAGTTTCACCAGCTATAAGAAGTATGCGTGCAAAGATAACTAACTGCTTCCGCATTAATGCAAACTGTTGCTTTATGTAACCCAGTAAAAGGACTGCATTGGCAGTCTTCATCGCCGCATCGAAGCTGCCGCTTTACATAGCCCAGGAAATGGCCTCCAACCGCCAGCATTCACAGCCAGTTAATGGCAAGGCAGTTTCCACATCGCAACTGCTGATGCTGGCCGTTTCTTTTCGCAACGCGAGAAGATCCCACAGGCGCTGCCAGCAAAGCCAGGCTGCGTATACGGTTAACAACAGCAGAAGCGCCCACACCTGTAGCGGCTCGGCAACGAGCACCTGCACCAGCGGATACGGCAGATAGAAAATGCACGCAGATCGACGGACCATAACCGCAATGGACGCGATGAGGCCGACGTCCAACGGGCACGAACAGAGAAAGGGCTTCGATGGGCCGGTCAACGTGTTCTCCAACGGGATAGCCGTATCGGCAAGGCAGCCAGAAGTATCGGAGTTGTTCGTCCCAGTGCTATCGCCAACCACCGTTTCCTGCGGCTTTTCGTCGCGCCCAGCCTCGATTTCGCCGGGTTCGGGAGTACTGTAATGCAAGTATTCTATTAAGAACAAAATCAGTAAATACTTCCTTCATGATGCTGAGAAAACTTCCACGTTCTAGTCGGGTGGAACCTATGCCGTTAATAATGACTACAGCACCAACCTGTCCTTGTTCTGATCGTCACATGACTGCTGGAGAGACCTGAAGCCACGGGCCCAGTAAACGAGCGCGACCGTCACTGATGCAATAGGGAGCACAGACAGTGCCCAGATCCATCCGCGAAGAACCTCGTAGGTAATCGGTGAATATGTGGTGGAGAAAAGGGAGAGCAGCGCCGGATGGCTGGTGTTCCATCGCGGATAGTCCAGATCCACCCAGTATGACAGGACTGCTCGCGGGACGCCCATCATACCCTGTTGGCGCCACAACACCGGTTAGGTACACCGTACGCGTGTACGTCCGCATCCAACCGTAATTTAGGAGTACATTACCGAAAGTGTTATTCAAATATTCGGTCTATTTCATTAACGTCAGAATCAAATTTCATGGTATTAGAATGGAAAAACGTATTTTTCTTATATGCCCTGCTACCGTTGTATGGCCCGCGCTCAGGCTCGGACTTTGGACTATTACGGTAAATCTTGGATTACACTTACATTGACCTCCTCAACTTGGACGTCGTAACTTGGACTTGGACTTACGTAGTCCAAGTGCGAGCTTGAGCGAGGGCTCTGTTGTATATACAGACCGACAGCATCGGCCGAAACAAAGATTTCCGGGCGCGTTCGTTCAAACTGGCCACCATGCATGTTTGACATGCAGGAAAAAATAAGCGCCGAAAAAAGTATGTTTACGGTCCGTAGCGAAAAGTGCCAATAAGCCAAGTTATTTGCGCTTTATTCTCGATTTATGTACTTATACAAAGAAAAACTAATTGCAAAATTTAGCCATCGATCCAAGATTATTGCACTACAAACTACTATCTACTATAAGCACCTGATAAGAGCGCTCTTTAAACCCGGTTGACTGTAACGAGTACTTAAAGGTTGGTGCGAGTGCGTGCCCGTCCGAAAATAAGAGCGCAAATATCGTGGAATAAATAGACTGCTATAAGTAATGCGGAATAATTATCGTAGAGCAGTTATCGTTATTTCAGTAATGTGATACATCAAATGCAGGCATAAAATGCTTATAAAATTAAAATAAGTTTGTTGTTTCCATCCTGATCTCAATAACCATGAAAATAAGGGCGTAACGCGCCGTAGGTTATCCGAACGGCTCACGCCCATTTTTTTATTTCTCCACCATACACTTGTGCTCTTACTCGTATTTTTGGACGGGCTTGGACAGATATGTAAAAACTAACATTTATTCAGGATTCACTCAAATTCAGGACGCTTCGATCTGGATTTGTTTGGTCAGACCGGTGTAATTTCCTTACCGTTGCATACTCAATACAATAAGCTCCGGCGGTTCTGTTGCCCTTAATCTTATGATTGCTGATGTACAGGATCCACCAATCCCATGAACCATCTGATGCAGGAAGAAAATCGGTTAATGGTCCAATATTGTGCATCAGAGCACACCACCAGCATAAAAAAAAGCTTAATTTGAAGAGTAGAGCAGCGCAGTATCGATGAAAGAGCTTCTCTAATATCATCTTTTTCTGTGCTGTTGTCCGGCTTTTCATTTCTGCCGTTGCGAGCGGAGCTTTTTCCATAGCTACGGAATCCCTGGCCAGCGCCGTACCGCACATCCGCCTGTACACATAGCAAAACACGTAAAATTAAGTGCACTTAAACCCATACTGAAAAAAATTAGGAGGGCAGGAGCTACGAGGTAACTAAGTACTAAGAATTTTCAAAAGTAACAAAATTTCCTTCTCAAAACACGCGAAAATTTGCAGGTCACGGACAGGAAGTTACGTATTTCAATGTGGAATAGATCTGTCATATAAATTAATAATTAATTTTCAGGCAATGCTAAAGCCTGGAAAATGGCACAAATACAGAGCGTAAGGATAATTAATAAAATCAATAAATAATAAAGTATTACAACAACAACAATTAATAACAAGAGTAACAACAAATAATACTGTAATTAAGAAATAACAATTCGAATACTCTTTTCGTACAGAAATTTCGTGAGAACGAGTACAATGCTAGCATTAATATCTAATTCAGCATCTTGTCTATACAGATATGTGTCACCTGAGCTTGTTGTTGATCCAGGAAAAGTACGTCTCCTCCATCCACAAACCCCACATACGGCCGGTACAGTAGATACTGAGGATGCTCACCAGTAACCCACAGCAGGGGAAGACGGCTTCCAGACCGAACGTTTCAATGGCCACGGCGGTCGTAGCTCCACCCATTAGGACAACGGGTAGTACCCACAACACCAGCCAGACGAGAAGACAGATGACAGTGCGAATAAACACAACCACAAAGTAGACCCCGAACCCGATGCATTTTAGCCAAGTCGGCAGTCGACGAAGCCACGTGAGGATGGGGTGACGTCCGCACCAGTGGAGGTGTTGGGTCCATGGCCGATATCGCCAGTCCCGGTTAACGAATAGCGAGCATCCCACCGACACGCTGAGGAGGACGGCGGCGCAGATGGTAATGATGACGGCGAAATAGCCGAGGCGCCCGCGGAGTTGGTTGGCGGCCGGAATCGCTGTGGACTCGTTATCGGTAACGGCATCCGCCTTGGGTGGCAACCATGCGGATACAATGCCATCCCAAGTGCAACCATTCATTTTCTATAATATAGTTATATGAAATAAGCGCGTTTCCTTTGAGGGAAGTGACCCGGATACATGGTGCCGAATTCGCCAAATTCGTGTACATGTACTGTACGGGAGTAGATTCAGTGCAGGTACACGAATATGCATAGACTTCAGTTTCACACACTTCCAAACACCTTTTTGTATTGTTATATGACATTGTGTAGCCAAATGGCGCGTGTACATGGCTGCGAAAACCGTTTCGGTGGGCAACATCCGGTTGGGGAGTCATAGTTAAAATAAAAATTCCAAATAATTTAAATGGTGCATTAAAAGTCTTATTATGGACCGATTTTCTAAATTTGCTGAAAAAGATGCATACATATAAAGATCGTTTTGACACGGAACCAGAATTTTGGCATTTTTTCAGATTTCAAAAGTTTTTTTTAATTTTCAGAATTCGTTTTAAAATTGGAAAAACGTGCTAAGGCTGAGCATTTTCGCTTCTGTTTTCGAACGCTTGATCACCACCGCATTCAAACAAAATTGTGTTACTGCCCTCGTTTTGCATTTGAAATTTACACATAAATGTTGCAGGAACCATTTACGAGTTCTCACAAAAAAATCTGACCACCATAAATTCGGAGCCGCGAATAGCGTGTGGTAGCGAAGTCAGAGATCAATATTGTAACCTGCACATTTTTGTGTAACCATCACTTACAATGAGGGGAAAGCAAAACAATTATTTTTGTAGATTTTCCCGTTTGGATAAAAGCGAGAAAGTTTGTAGTTTTGCTGCCTAGAATTAAAATGCGTGTGAAACCTGATTAATTCTTATTGAAAGGCAAACAGATCAACGTGATTTTATTTAGTGAGTTCAACATTAAGGTAAAAAAATTTAAACCGTTCATTGAACACCGAAAAATATATTCTACGAACGAAGTACGTACATATAACAAACTGCATGAGTTTTTCTTAACCCAGGAAAGCCGGGTACTAGAAGGGATGGGACTGCAGTTTTGAAAATTGGCAGTCTGGAATAGAAAAATTCAATTAAGAGAAAAATATTTTTTCAGAATTTTAGCGACCATAGGTCAAGCAGGAGATGACCACGTCGGCCTAACACGCATGGTAACCATGTTGCACCGACATGTTATTTATTGCCGTTTATAACAGCTGATAGAAAAATTGCACAGAATATGCCGATGGCTCAAACGATAGATTTCAACGAGTACTTGAATATAGGGGCATTGCGATGGTCATCAAGATGACCAGTGGTCAAGGAAAATGCAAAAACAAAAAAAGCACTAATATGCCCCAGTACATTAGTACTACTTCAATATTTCGTAACAGCTGGTCACTTCTGCTCTACGTTTTGGACATTCGGTCATCGGCCTCAGTGTGAATCACAGGAATTACGTGTACAGTGGTAGTGATACTATATCCGGTCGTGCAACCGAAGGGGATAGCCGAGATCAAGAACAGGAAACATGGCTGACATAATGACCATCGTTAATGAACCGGTGGCCAATTCTGCAGTGTTCTACAAGTGACCAATCGTTCAGATTCATATGGAAGTATCGTGTACGACGTGTAGTAAGGTCAGCACAGGTCTCCCAAAAAACTAATAATTATGTCGTTACAGGGCAGCAAACTTCAGTATTTTGAAAGGAAGACATTACTTCTTCTAGCCGATATACGAGTATTTACCGCTTTGCACAGATTCATTTTTAAGGAATACGAGCGCTCATGAACCGGAAGGTCCAAATAGCTCGCTTGATTTTTTTTAGTGCAGAGGTAGAAGCTGAACAAGCAGAGGATTAACGCGAGATGAATAACTTGTGCAGGGATTTCTCGCTCATAACTACAGTCTAATTCACATGAAATTTGCAAAGAATGTCCACATTTTCTCAAGAAGAATGAAGTAGCCAGGGGTCCAGGTTGCGGTGTATGGCAATAACACACAAGCAGATGCACTGCATAATCTTCTGTGTCGTGTACTTCGTATATATTGTTCAGTGGACTGCAAGAGTGACTTAGCGTTGGCAAATAATATTATAGTCGATACAGTCGACGTTGAGTCACTTTTGCAGTCCATTGTAGGTAATCAGGATAGTATGGGAAGTAATTGTTTCAGGGCTACCCAGAACAGTCATCACATATTTTTTTTGCATTTTATTCACATGAATTATAATGGCGTTTAGTCGAAAATCACTTTTTTCGGATTTCCGGTCTGTGCTGACCAGTGGTCACTTTTCTGACCACTGTGTACAAGTCAGTTAATGCAATTTTTTCTGGGCTTTCTTTTGATAGTTCATTGTGCTGTGTACGATGCTTCTGCCAATGGATATAAATTTTTAACGAAATATAATTAATTAGCACCCTGCCCAACCGTGTCAAAACCGACATGGTATTTTCATTTGACCAGCACTGACCAGTGAGCGTTTTTTCTCCGAACTTTGTTTCGTTCTTATATAAAGCTTATCAATCACTTCTTTTGTATTTTTTTTGGCAATTATCTGATGTGAAGGTGGCTGTACAGGTAAGCAAGACCTCCGAGAACTCCGTTTGGTCACTTTTGACGATGTTTGGTCACTCTCTGGACTTTACGGGCATGGCGGAGCTAAATGTTACACATTGTAAAGTGTTGTCTAACATCTGTCCTTTGAAATAAAACAATTAAACACTTCCTACGACTATAATTACGGATTAATGAGAAGAAGTCCTCCACCATGTCGGCCTAACACGCATGGTGTGGAACGGGTTAAACGTTTGTTCCCTGTTGCTGTTTGCTGTGGACAGGTGCGCAGGAGCAAATAAAAGCTCATTTTACCTATTTTACACCTTTACCTGTAGAAGTACCTATTTTTACACGCATCTGCCCAGAGTCACAGACACTTACATATCCCAGGTTTCCTAGAAGACTGCCCAAACCAGTTTTATAATCGGGATCCAAACGAGTGTTCTGCCATTCTGGGAAGAATCTGGTGCCGAATTTCAACGCAATCTGCAACGCGAACCAAAGAACTATCATGGCCTCGGCGATAATTTCCTGATACGCCCAGCCATGATCCCGATTCAGGGTGTATCCAAATGTTTTGCGATATTTGCCCATTATCAGCGGCGGGAGCTGCACTGCTGGGAAAAACTTTAGTAGTGTCTAGAAAGCGATGATTCTTGTGTTAATATGAAACAAATGGGTTTATATGTGACTTTACTGATATTCATAGGAAAACTGCTGCTGTTCGTATCGACGCACTGAGATTTACCGCAGCGCAAATCCAGCCGCGCGGGTATTAAAGATTATATTTTTGGCTGATTTCATTTCCGACTCTCTTGAAACAAGTACTGTAATATAGCGTTATTAGCCGCTCCCTGCTTCCTTTAATATATCAGCGTGGTCTCTCTGCAATTTCCGTTCCACCTTGAATAATGCATACGAAAAAAGCCGAAAAAAGCTCTACATAAGTTCGAAAATTGAAGGTATCAACGAGAATAGCTAACAGATGGAATTATAACTTACTAAACTGGCGAAATGTTACTCACGCGAAGGCGCTCCTGTTCCTAGAATCGGCGCACCCAGATTTCTAGTATGTACTATGGATTATTTCTCTGATTGACTCCGCCCATGCACCTTGGCGCACGCAGTTTAGCGCTATCATCAGCTGCTCCCTGAGAGCGTACATTAATGTGCTCTTTCTAGTTTACCTTTAAGCTTCGACAATGCATGCGCCGATCAATATACAGTCCGCGATGCGGCTCAAAGCGGAAATCGGGAGCGTTTTGAACTGAAATATTATTCGCGTTGTGTGGATCGAAGGGGCTCTGCCCCGGCTGCAAACTTTGTGCGTGCGCGCTTGTCAGTATTCTCCCGTTGCCCAAAATAATCCCCGTTAACCACATAACCAAGCCGGACGGGTGATGGCGGAAACAGCGGGTGCATCCATAATGCAACTACGCAGAATTAGTGAGACTTGCATAGTACGTGATACAATATCACAACAGAACAATATAACTTAATGCCGCCACATTAACAACGCTTAGAAAATCTTTCTATCACGTACGTTATACCCTTTCGATCAAAGAACAGTTTTTTTAAAGCGCTACATTCATACATGCACACTGGTGCAGGTACATGTTCCGCGCAACTCGTTATTAATTTAAAAGCTCTAATAATGCAAATCGTATGTTAGTCAACCTTTTAACAATAAACAAAACTTTTGAGATCAGGTATCAATCAAAATTCAAATTATGTTAATTACTAACATGTTGCAATTTGCATAATTTCCACTGCCTGGGAGGTGCATAGCGTCGCTTTGCGTATCTCGAGATGCGTACGTACCGGGACAGAACTGAATTTAAGTAATTTATTTAACAGTTTAGTAAATGTTAAACTTAATGTATAATGCAACGTAGACCAGAAGCAGAAACAGAATAACATTTATTCCCAATCCGCCAGTTGAAACATGGTGCATTCTGTCTAGCAGTCCTTTCCAAGACAGATACTGTGATTCCCCGCTGGAAAATACACATAAATTAACAATTATTTATAATTTCGAAAATTGCTTTAATGTGCAGAGTGCGGTGGTCAAAACTACAGACTAAAATTAATTTTCGAATTAATTCAAAGCCTAGCGGTAATACCGTACAGATGCAGTACAGCAGAGGTTTTACTAACAATTAATAATCTGTGTCGACCTCTGGTTGATGTGCCCATTGGTTACTGCTAAATGTTTTGGCAAGTTTCCACCAGGTCAGGCTGTAGCATGTGTATTTAAAGATGTCTAACTGCTTCTCCCTTAACGTATAGAAGCTGCAGCTTTATATAGCCCAGGAAATGGCCTCCAACGGTTCTTCTTTGGCAGCTAATGGAATCGGCGCCCGGGTTTCCTTCCGCAATTGAAGAACCTCCTGCAGGCGCTTCAAGCAAAGCCAAGCTCCATATGCGGTCAGCATCAACAGAAGCGCCCACACCTGCAGCGGTTATATGGCAGGCAAAAACAGCATACACTTCGTCGGATTATAACCGCCATAAAGGCGACGACGCCGACGCTCAACGTGCACGTACAGAAATAGGGTTTCGCAGAGCCGTTCAGCGTGTTCTCCATGGGGATAGCGGTATCGGGAACGCAGCAGGACGTATCGGAATTGACTGTCCCGGTGCAATCGTCGTCCACCGTTTCCTGTGAATTTTCGTCGTGACCAGCCTCGATTTCGCTGGGTTCCGGAGCCCTACAGTACAGTGCAAGTATACAGTTAAGCCTAAACCAGAGATACTCCCTTGTTACGCGTATTGCACAAACAAGCGTCCTGACTGCTGTAAAACACAATTTCCCGTTCAAGGCGGATGGAATCTATCACGAACACTGGACCAACCTGTTCTTGTCTTGCTCATCACGTGATTTCTTCAGAGATCTGATGCCACGGCCCCAGTAGACGAGTGCGATCGTCATTGATGCAATAGTGATAATTGTGAGCACAGGCAGTACCCAGATCCATCCGCGAAGAAGCTGGTATGTTATGGGTGAATAAGTGGAAGAGAAGAGCCACAGCAACGCCGGATGGCTGGTGTTCCACTGCGGATAGCCCAAATCCATCCAATACGAGAGGAGTACCGGAGGGATGTGCATCATGCCCTGTTGGGACCACAACGCCTGTCAGTTACGCGTGAACGACCGTATGAAACCACAAGCTGCAGTGCTTTATTTTGCTGTACTACTGATCAGTGGATTAAATTAACTGGTAAATATTAATTATAAATTTATCAGTGATAATTATTCCATGAATTTTCGTTTCGCTCGGGAAACGAATGCTCTACCGGTTTCACTGAGTGAATCCTCGTACCGGTGAGAACAGAACAAGAGCGCCCTTTGAACCCGTAGTCTTACTGGTCCGTGCGATTACAGACCCGTCCGAAAAATTACGGCTAACGCACCGTAATTTGTCCAACTGGGCTCGAGTCTTTTTTTTTATTTCTCCCGCTGTACCGGTACACATGAGCTCTTACTTCTGGACGGACTTGTATGTACATACAACTACAAACTGCATGCGGTACGCTGCAGTCTGAATTTGTCTCTGCAAGCCGGTGAAATTTCCTTACCGTTGCATACTTAATACAGTACGTTCTGCCAGTGCCGGCGTCGCTGTGATCCCGGATATAGCGGCTCCACCAAAATCCGATGCACGGCGCAAGCGAGCCGACGGCGGAATGAAGTCTTCCAGTGGTTCGACATTGTAGCACATAGCAGTCCACGAGCATAATACGAAGCATAATTTCATTAAGATCGCACCGTATCGATAAAGGAGCCGTGTCCTTGGCGTCGACCCTTTCGGTGCTGTGGCGGGCTTCTAATTTCTGCCGCTGTGAGCGGTACTACTTCTAAAAATAGCAATTAGGTTTTAAACGGGCCGAAAAAAGGCGAATGAAGATGTTTGATACGAATACAATTCATAAATTTGTGGTTATTATGCTAAAAACGTCAAATTTCTACCACCGGCTTTTATTATAATCATTATCGTTTTTATTAACAAAAAAGTATTTACTGCTACTTAACGGCAGTCAGTCGCCTTTATCGCACGTGAGATTACAATTCAATTTTTTAAATGTAAACTATATCAACCGTACCTGAATTTGTTGTTAATCCAGCCGAAGTATCGTTCCTGTATCCACCATTTCCAAATGCGGCCGGTACAATGCACACTGATCAACACATCCATAGTACACAACACGGGAACACGGCCGCTGAACCGACAGTGTTAATGACCACAACTGCAGCGGCGCCGCTCACCAGCACAACCGGTAGCACTCACAGCAGCAGCCAGACAAAAAACTGGCAATCTTGCTGAAAAATCTAACCACTACCCCAACGAAAATTAGCAAAGTAGGCCCTTCCAGTGACGGAGGGTGGGGAGCGAGACGTTGGCACCAGGGAATGAGCAGTGTACAGTGCGAATGTAAGCGCCAGTTGCGAATGACAAACAGCCCGGGGATATACTCATTAGGACCGTTGCGCAGAAATGGTGAAGGCGGCAACGTAGCCCAGTTGGCCGCGGCGTTCGTCGGCCGCCGGAGACGGCAGAATGTCTTAATCGGTGAAGGCTTCGGCGCCCGACGGCATCCACCCGGATACGATGTCATCCGAATCATACGCGCTCATGGGCTATTAAAGTAATTTAAAGTGTTTGAGCACGTAATATAGATTCGAGTGCAATTAATTTTTGTTGTGTAGATTTTGTAAGAGTAGTCTTTTGTGTAGAAGCTGTAGTTTGGCCATATGTGTCCTGTCAAAGACTAATTCTGAGTTGGGTATTTCGATATAAATGAGGCCGCTTTTGAAGTTCTCTGACGAAATGATTTTGGATTGGATGGTTTTGAATGGAGGGGGTTGGTATTTGTTGGGGATTGGTACAGTAGTTTTTTGAGCGCAGTTGAGCTTTGGGTATATAAAGGAGACGCGGAGTGTGGTGAGAATTCAGTTGGTGCGATTGCTGGAATGAGAAGTTTGTTGTGTGAACAGAGTTTTGATTTATGGTTGCGTCGTGAGTTTCGTGATTTCTGGTGGAATAAATTTGGTAATTGTGTTTGATGGTATTTCTTAAATGTTTTATTATTTAATTGTTTGAATTTTAAATTTTGTTTTAATAGGGTGGAGAGTGTGAATTGATCTTCATTGCGTGGGAAGTGGTGTGAGTGGGATTTCGGTGGATTTTTGCCTAGGAAAACATTTGATTGGTAAGAAATTATTTGTGTATGTTGATTAGCATACGATAATACTAGGTATGGGTTTGATATGGTTAAAATGATTCTATATAGGAAAAGTGGTATATTGTGTCAAGAGAATTAACTTTGATTAAATTTGTACTGGAATAATATTATTTATTAATTGGAGATATGTTTATGTGTTAGAGGCAGATGGTGTGTTAATGTATTTGTTTAATGAGCGGTATTTTGTCATTGTTTTGTGTTAGTTTGTTGAAGTTGATATGGAAGTGTTATAATACACCCCGTGCACGCCAAGTTGGCGATGTGCCATTTTAATTTTCTGCCGAATCGTGCAGCGCATGTTTTGCCAATCTTTTTAAAGGTTATAGCGTAGTTTTCTCTTGCGCATTTATTGAACAAAAACGTACAGTAATGGATTTGTGATAGCGGTGCCGCGCGAAACGCCTTCCGAAGTGAAGGCACCGATGAAACAAGTCATGGCAGTTCAAAAACACAATTTAATTCTGCCAGAAATGCAGGAACGACTTTAGGCGCTTGGAATTGAGGTCAGGTTCAGGACCCCCAAGAGAGTGCTTCAGGAAAAAAAACTAGAAGTTAGCGGCTAGACCAAACCTGCAAACCGCCTCGGGAGCGAAATCGTCTTTTTCGCCAAAAAAATGCGCTTGTTGAAAAAAGAGATGGTGTTCACTGAAAAGTGTTCCAATGGAGGGTCGCGTGCTTATGCTCAGGATGGTAGTGAAAATGTTAACGCCCAGCTCCTTGCAAATCGGGTTTTATGTTGCACGTTCAAGGAGGACTTCCCATGGCTGCATGGTAACCTCGCGGAGGAAATCGTCCTACAGTTCGGCCACGCCCGCCGTTATACCGGTGCCCTGCCCCAGGAAGGGCTTCAAGTTAATGGTGCAAAGTGCACCCCGAAGGGCCGATGCATGGCCAAGTGGGCAGATTTAGCGTCCATGGACTCCGGCATAAACGGGAATTTAAAATGAATTTTTTGTGGGAGGGACGAAACCGCGATAGCTCAACTGCAGCGCATTATTGAAGTGGCCTGCTCTAGTTATAAAATTCCTGTAATTCACAAATAGCTCAAATCTTAGAAACCTCAATTTAAATTATTGATTTTTATAATTTAGTAGGAGAACTAAATTAGGATTAATAGACTGAAATTTGGTTTTCAGAGTAAAATGCGTGCGGAAAATTTGTTGGTGTATATTTTTGTAACGGATGATTTATGTATTGCGGAATTAAAGGTTGACTTAAAAATTAGGGCATTTATAGAAATTCAATATTTCGTAAAGTGATACGGAGTGGTTTGATACAATTAATAGAGTTAATAAGTGTGAATTAAGATATTGCGTACAATGTGTAGAAAATTATGGAGTGAGGTTATGGAGCGTATTTAGTCAGTTTTAACGTGCTACACCGCATATTAGAAATTGCAGTTTAGGTCACTGTAGTCATATAGGTTAGCCCGCTTGAGTGACTGTGAACGTGGCATAGTGTTAGAAATATTGACTCGCATAGTGTAACCGTTCGAAATAATGGTAAAAGCTAAGTATAGAAAATTTATGTGGCATTATAGAGTCATGGTGTGTAGATATTGAAGTTGATAAAATAAATTTGAAAAAACAGGTGGATGTAGTGTTCCGTATGGTTTGGTGTATAGCAAATTTAGTAATGATTGAATGATTTTATGCTGAGAATGTGGATTAATTATGGAATAAATATGATGTTTGATATTTATGTGTTATAGATGATGGTGTTATGGATGATTGTGTATGCGATAAAAGTATTTTGAAGAAAAAGGTGGGTGTAACGATCCGTATGATTGTTGTATTTAGGGAACAAAGATTTTTGCGGAAATTGTCTGACTGAGCCGAAACCGTCTGAAATTGCATTTGTTTTCAAGCCGTTAAATGTAATTTTAATTTTAGAAACAAATAATTTTTTATGTATATTAAAAATATCTCTGTACAGTTGCAAATTGCGGACGATAGTGGTGTCGTGGATGTCGTGGCATATAATCAAATTCAACAACAATTATTTGGACATTCAGCAGCTGCCCATCAAAGTGGACTGATTGGAGTTAACGATTTTTCGGTTATGAATAAGCAATATCGTGTTATTTTGAAGCAGGCTTACAGTAAGATTGAAGTAAGTTGAAGTTCTATATTTTAATACTTATTGTAATATGTATGAATAGATATTTATTAAATATAAATAAATAGAATTTAATAATTATTAAAAAATATTTATGAATAGATATTATCACTATTGTTATATAAATGTTATTACAGGGCCGCAGCAAAGAAACCATCAGTGTAACCTATATGGAAGAAAGGATGCTTGGTATAAATTTAATCAAACTGAAAACGCAACAAATTTAACATTAAATTAAACAAAGAAATTTAAGTATGAAATTATTTTGTTTTTGTAGAAGAAAATCCATGTTCAGCTATGGATATTGGTGTCAGCAAAGAGCAAACAACCACAGTGCAACCTGAGTGCAGCAAACGATCGAATGGTAGGAAATTAAACACAAATAAGTTATATGAATTTGAATATGTGTTTTTGTATACAGTTACTCCGAAGAAACGGAATAAATGAGTGGAAAAGTGGAATTGAACTGCGAAGCAGAATTGAATGGTCCCAAGGCTTTGAATTTGGATAACATGATATTATTCTTTTACCAGTACAAGTATCATTTTGTATTATTAGCTAAATTCATTAGTGGTATGCTATTTGTATGAATGGTATAATATTATTATGGTGAATTGATTATGCCCGATTTTTGTACTATTATATTATATACCTTAGTATCATAATAATTATACTGTTGTGATGTGAAGTTTCAAAAAATCATTATTATGGTGTAATGTAGATATAATAAAATTTTTGTTTTACAATAAATTAGGATCTGTGTATAATAAGTATTGTAAAATAAATAAAAATATAATAATGAATGGAAGTGTAAGATGATTATGCTGTGCGTTATAATAGTACTTTCTAACCAATAATTGACTGCCAATTGGAAGATGGTGACAGAAAAAGTAAGGTATATGTAATAAATGCGTGCCCAACTGCGCCCAATAATTGTCATTTGGAAGGTAGTGACATAAGTCGTATAATATCGTATAATAATGTGGTTAACAGCTACCGCTAATATAAATATACGCCGTACTGCGCCCAACCAAGATCTTGGTGCCATCTGGAAGGCGGTGACATTAAGAGTAAAATGTATGTTATAAATATGCGCCCAACTGCGCCCAACTAACTAACAACTTACTGCCATATGGAGGGAGGTGACATGAAGAGTAACGTGTATATTATAAATATGCGCCCAACTGCGCCCAACTCAACTAACAACTTACTGCCACCAGGAGGGAGGTGACATAAGAGTAACGTGTATTAGTACTATAAATATGCGCCCTTATGCGCCCAACCAACAAAAATCAAGATAATTATGTCATATGCTAATTGTATAATTGATGTGCATAAGAAAATATGCGCTCCTGAACCGCCTGCCACATGGCCCCCTCCCCGAGGTGGCCGCCCGTTAGGTGTTTGACTGAAATTCAAGTAAAGGAATTTAAATTCACGGTGCAAAACCATATACCCGGTAACCCTTTTTTATCCTTGCTGCCTGCATCTGCGTACATTCTGCGTCTTCCACTCTATGCAGCGCTGATATATTATTTAGGTCTCTGCAATTTTCTTTTCATCTTGAAGGGTGAATGTACCGATCAATACAAGTATGCGGTGTGGATCAAACCCAAAATCATGAACGCACTGAAGTAAGTGTTATTGATCGCCCTACGATGCGATCCCCAGTTAGCAGTCGATAGATCTCCGCTCTCCGGGTGCCGGTTTAGTGGGCATGCGCTTGTTAGTTCATTTCCTGCGCAAAAATTTTTGTTTTCTTAACTGTCGGCAGTTGACAGGATTTGACGGGCGATGACGAATTGCGTAATTGTAATGGAACGCAAGTTTCAGAAAACAGCAATAAAAACGGGCAACGCGAGCAACAGACCAGGGCGCTGCTACCGCCTCCGAATTCGGAAAACTTTCATCGTTTCTAAAAGGGTATTAGGTATACTACCGTAGTATGCTTAAAAAACATTTTCATGTGCAAAGGTAAAAGGTCTTGACCAACAAAAATTAAATTAGATGAGTACACTGTACACGGTATTACGTTGTGGAATAAATACATAGCATTTTATGCGTTAACAATATATCTATATATACAACATAATTATATACAAATAAAATAGCATACAACAATAATATATATACAATATTAACAGTATTAGGAAGTATTTAGAAAATTCAGGGTGTGGCTACCGGACCCGCTGTTTCAGTTTCAGTTATGTTACCTGAAAGGGTCCACGGCTGCTCCAGTGGCCTCAAAATTATTATATTATTTTGTTAACTGCCAGTACAGCGTAACAGTACTCATTTAATTTTTGTTTTGTCGTGCCCAGTTGACCTTTGCAGATGAAAGCATTATTTAAAGGTCACTTCTATGCGCCAGGAAATTTCCTGGCGCATAGTCGTTTTGCTATGCGCCCGGAAATTCGCCGCCAAAATTAAATTTTATCGCTTTAAATTATTAATAACATAATACTGTCACTTGGTGAAAGTGCTTTTTATATAGACAGCATAACAACACGTGAGATTCATTACAAAAAGCACAAACTACGCTTTCCAAGAACTCAATATTTAGGAAAAACTAAGAACTGGAGTACCAGCAATACTTGTGATGGGCATTAGATGGGCATTAGACCTAAGGAAGCATTTGCGACTGCTCGAACAGAACATGGCAAATAGAGCTGAGAGCGTTTTGCCATGATAAAAGCGATAATGAGAGGATGAAGCCGGCGAACACCAAAGAAAATGCACATGTGGGTATGCATTGTGTTGTTATGGTCGCGTTGAAAAGTAAAAACACCACTGTACAGTTTTGCCGAATTTACAAATCAGCAAAAAAGCAGGGCATGCACGATTTTCCGACAGTCGAACGGAATAAGAAGCAACGGTCTCACCGGCATGTTAGCAGGCCGCGTTGGAGGGGCGGCCGCCCCCCCCTTTTTTCGATTTTGGCCGCCGTGAAGGCGGCGATTTTTCGGTTTTGATCGGGGGCGAATTTAAAGTATGGCGCCCCCCCCCCTTCCGCACCCTCCGCCCCGACCAGTTTCTGGCCGCCACCCCGGCGGATTTTAGCCAAAACGCCGCCCCCCCTACCAAAAAAACCCCAGCGCGGGCCTGCATGTTGGTACTGGAATGGGTTAATCCCAAAAATCGCGAGTACTATGCACACTTAAGCGGAAACCGATGGACTTGTATTAAGCTGTAAACCTGGATACATACATTATTACTTTGCACTCAAGGAAACGAAATGCACATTGAGTGTCCTTCCGTCCCGCAACAAAAGATCGGTTAGAGTAATTGTGGGGTATATGCACCAGCGTTTTGCGTCAAACATGCCCTTTCAAAAAATGCGAACATCAAAAGCGCGAATTATGCCAAACAGTCTACATTTCGAAACTGGCTAAACGAAATTATTGAAAACGGAAACCAGTTTCAAAAAATTCGGGGTGTCCTGGATAAAGTCCGTCTTGATGTAAAGAACGGTGTGCCGTATAAACAACTGGAATTACAGCCTTTCTGATCTAACCATCAAGTTGATAAAATTTCTTATGAAGGCTCGGGCTGTAATCGTAATCGGACGTGTGGGTTATGATTAGACTTCGTAAAGGGATATTAACAACTTAAAAACATTTACATTTTAATTTTGCGAGAAATTTCCTGGCGCATAGCAAATTGACTATGCGCCAGGAATTTTCCTGGCGCATAGCACTTTCGTTATTTAAAAGATACCAAGGTAGCATATTACCTTTCTACATACAGTATATGAGGTTTTCTGAATTTGAAGGCGGGTGTGCCCTTGTTAGACAAGTACGCTGTACTGGCGCCGGGAAACAGGCTGTACGCGTGACTTCAGAAGGCTGACCAATTAGCTGATCATCGTCGCCAGTCTCGCCACGCCACATTGGTAGCAATTTAGCAACATCTAAGGAAAATGGCTCGGGGCGTGCAGTACTGAATTCATGTACATTCAATAAAACTGACTTTTTTCGCGAACCCCGAAAGGACCTTGTTGTATTGTTTTATGTCGTTGTTCAGCCCAATTATCTTTGAACGGTCTAAAAGTGACCGAAAACCGCCTGCGCATTTCTTCCGGCTGCTTAGATGAGGTAAATTAAGGAAGGGGGCCGGTACATGGCACCAAAATCTTGTTCAAGTACTGTACATGTGCGAAAACATTCGCTCTCGCCCACTCCCAAACATGTATCACAGTCTTTTATTTTGTTCTGCAGCCGTTTACGCCAATATAATATCTACAGCAACTTGTGTACATATTATATTGGCGTAAAAGCCGCTTGTGCGCGCAATGTCCGGTTGCCGAGAGAGGACGAGTTAAGTGGATAACAAATTTGAAAGCACCAAAACGCTGCACCAAAAATCCCCAAAGTTAGGTTACGTGCTCGATCTTCTTGAAACTTTAGTGTATAAACATAGGACTATGAAGCTGAATCTGACCAGGGCACATAGGGGTCCTCCAAATTCAGAAAAATTTCATCTTTTGTAAAAACGTAGTATACTACCCAAGTATGCTTAAAAAAATATTTTCAGCTGCTGTAATTAAGATAGGCGTGGCCAGCGCAAATTAAAAGAGTACGCAATACCGCATACGTACTATGTTATGACAATGCACAGCGTAGACTTTATGCATTCTGTTCGAGTAGCAGCTGCTAGCACCGAGCAAAAAGAAACCCGCACGCGGTGGTCCCTACCACCGCTGTCAAACTGGAAATTTTCCAAATTTGTTATTTCCGGATTAGTGTGTTTAGTGTTTTCTAATTAGTGGCCTACTGCAATATATGACGGGCCGGCTACTCGTATGCATAAAGCCTGCGCTGTGCATTGTAATAACATAGTAAGTACATACATATTTGGTACTGCGTACTCTTTTAATTTGCGCTGGCCACGCCTATCTTAATTACAGCAGCTGAAAATATTTTTTAAGCATACTTGGGTAGTATACTACGTTTTTACAAAAGATGAAATTTTTCTGAATTTGGAGGACCCCTATGTGCCCTGGTGAGACAATATCAGGTTTTAACTAGAATTCGACGAAATATGCTCATCTGCTCTGCTGCGAGTTGCGTGTTAACTGTTGCGACAAATTTACTGTTAAAAAATTATTTTAATTTTCAGCCATTTTTATATTTATCAACAGATTAGGTAATTTTGTATTCTTCAATTTTATTAAAATTCGCAATTTTAACCACAAAAAGGACTGCACAACTTGTACAATTTTGGCCACCGCAGTGTGCAGTGGTAGAAACCATAGTTCTTAACTTAGACTTTGATAATCGCAACCAGACAAGTTGACCGTTTCCGGTTCTTTACCATAACCAACGACCAGTTTTCTAGAGAAATTATATTGTCAGCGTAAAAAAAGGAGTTCACGAAAAGCACAACAGTATTAACATTAACCGACTTAAGAAAAAATCCGGTGGGCAAGACAATAATTATGATTCTTAGACAAATCATATTGTAGATAAAGAAATGATCGATTAATCTCCAGCGAAAAATTTCATTTTAACGGCAAACTCCGATTCTTTGATAGTTTTCAGTCAACCGATTGCTCCCATAGTCAACTGCGACCGAACTGCCTCCGATAAGCAAAGAGCATCGGGCAGATAATTCCACTTCCGTCGGCCAAATTGGGTAATAAGAACATTAAGTAGAAAAGCGGCTAAGCTACGATTACGATAACCAATT